GGATGTTAAAACTCGCACAGTGTGCCAGAATAAGAGGTGGAGAATGCTAAGCATTGAATGGCAGCAGAGACTTTAAAAAGAAAAGGCCTGCTGTCAAAGACAAGCAACATCACTACTGTGTTTGCAACAGATGAGATGTGGATCTGCACATTCATGTGCCCTAGTTCTTCCTTGTGCAAACTGGGCTGACATCCATCCCTGTGACAAATGATGGGTTTTTTCACCATAAAACGTCATCAGTAATAAACTACAGGGTATCTTTCTAACTTTGTGGACATTTGTGCTGGTCAAAACAAAAGGGAGTTGCCCTCGCTGCTCCTTCCTCTTATGGTGCTGAAGAATCTGCCTGAGCCAAATGAAGATAAGCAAATATGGATTTATTTCAGATGAAACTCCAAATCCTGAACTTTGTATGGCAAATTGTGCCAGGAGTCAATGGGGAGGGGGAAAGGGCCCTGCCCCCCCCCCCGAGGGAGAAAGACCCAGCTGGGGTCCTCCTTCCTTGTGTGGCAAAGTTGCAGGGCTTGGCTGGGCACGGGGTGACGGCCACCAGCTCTTGGCAGCCCCTGGTGGCAGTGGTCGCCATGCTACTTGCACAAGGCAAATGCTGAGGCCACCCCTTGCTTGGGGCTGGGGTGGCCCTAGTGGGGGCAGGGCAGCTTCCCAGGCCCTTAGTCCTCCAGGAATTTTCCTGGTGGACTTCATGGCCAATCTGCTTCTGAATTGCACATACAGTACCTAGTTGGTGTACGAGAGGCCCTTTTTCCTGGCTGGATTCATGACAAACAATAGTGAGGTGACAACAATGCCAGAGGAACATACAGGCTGTTCCCTCCATCCTCACAGGCTCAGTCACTACATTCCCTGGACTAACGAAAGGAGCAGCTATGCTGGCCTGCCCTTGCTCCCTCGCCCTGGTAGTTCTTAATCATTGCCAACCAAGAGAGTCCGGAGGGTAGAACAAGAGAGACTAAGGACAAAGGACTCTGACCTGGATAGCCCAGGCTCGTCCCATCTCTTCAGACCTTGGAAGCTAAGCAGGTTCGGCCCTGGTTAGTACTTGGATGGGAGACCACCAAGGAAGTCCAGGATTGCTCTGCAGAGGCCGGCCATGGCAAACCACCTCTGAATATCTTGTGCTTTGAAAACCCTATGGGTCGCCATAAGTCAGCTGCAACTTGATGGCACTTCCCACCACCAAGGACAAGGAGTGGACCCCACCAGGGAACAGGAATGTATATTGTTTTCCTCCCTACCCTGTAATATACTTTTACGCTGGGGGCGACAACTCGCTAAGCTGTGGAGTCTTGTGAGCAAAAATTCCACTTTGTGAGCTGCTGGCATTAAAGTTGTGAGCGAGCGATTGGGCTACTGCACAAATCAGTTTGCTCTGGAGCCATCCTTCCTGGGCCGAGACGAAAATGTGTTGAGCCGGAGGCTAAAAAACTGTGAGCTAGCTCACACTAACTCAGCTTAGAGGGAACACTGGTATGGAGTACAGCTTTTTAAAAAAATGTATGTATGTATTTTTTTTCATGTGTGTGTGTGTGTACCTGGAAGTCATGTCGACCTCTGGTGACTGACCCCTGCTGGGGGCCTGGAGGATATTCAGAGAGGTGGCTGAATAAAGCCTGCCCCCGCCTCCCGCCTCTGGTATTCCAAGGAGGTCTCCCATCTGAGTACTCGCCAGAGTCAACCCTGTTTATCTTCCACGATCTGGCAAGATTGGGCTTGCCTGGGCTATCCAGGTCACGGGCATGAAGTACAGCTTTGCTATAGTAACATCTGGCAAGTTATCGTAAAGAACATCAACCCCAGCTGACACAACCATTCATTACAAAAGGAGGAGTTTATACAATATCGGTGTGGGCTGTGTTTTATGAGCTGGGCTGCAAGTGCTTTTGAAGTGTTTTAATAAGTATTTTACAGTGGTGTGTCCGTTCTGTTTGTCAGAGCGTCAGATCTAAGCAGGCAAGACGAAGATGACATTTACGGGGATTGGGGATCCATCCTCACCACCCTAAGCATTCGGTGCATGATTCTGATGTGCTGAAACTTACTGTTGGCTACAATGAGTTCAGGCAAGCACCCAGAACTGTGAGTGATAAACTGCAACACCAATACAAAGTTAAGGCGTGTTCTTGGCCCACGCTTTTCTAAAAAATGACAAGTACGATGGTTTAACCAATCACTGCGGCACAGGCACAGTGCTATTTTCAGGCAGCTGGTATGATACGTTTCTAAATACTTTCCATAACCCTCGGCAAGTGAGAGTTGCCCTACAAACGATCAGGTTTCAAAATTGTATTTATAACTTGGGGACTGGCATGGTCTTTGCTGGTGCTTGGATTTGCTTTGGGGTGGGTATGCCATGGCTGGATCAAGGGACACGAGATTCTTTAGTATAGCAACTTGTAGATTCAGGCAAGGGTTGGAGAATTCCTCATGGAATTGCGGTGGGGGGGGGGTGGCCGGCTCAGTCAAACGCTGTCTGTGATGATTAAAGCCTGAAATCCCTATTTATAATTGAGAGGCACTCTCAAGAGAAAGAGCTCTTGCATCGGCTGCCATTTACTGAAGGCTTTAGACATGTGCAAGAGGAATGTGCTCTGCCTTTTTGTTTTTGTTTTTTACGTAGCACCAAAATCCTAGAAAGAGGTAAGAATGCTTTACTGGCAGCCTGAGCACTTTAGTCGCTGTAGATCCAGATCGCCCTATAGGCACAGGCAGAACCACACATTAATAGCTGGTGGTAATCAATAAAGGTATGCACATGAAAACAAATGCCTCCAGTAGGGCTCACACAAACCATGGTCCGCATAGGCCAGGGGGTCCCCAGACTTTTTGAGCCTGTGGGCACATTTGGAATTCTGACACATTTGGAATTCTGACACAACAAAATGGCTGCCACGGGAGGCAGAGCCAGCCACAAAATGATTGACATAGTTTAACTTCAGTAACATAGTGTAGCACACTGCGCAGCCAATCAGAAGCCTTGCTGGGCAAAAGGCCTGCATGGCCCCACCTTCTTCCTTAAAATACTTGGAGGGAACCAAGAAAAGGTGTTGGGGACCCCTGACACAGGCAATATGTCTGGAAGCTGGTTTAGGTTTGTAGATCTTTCCGTACTGACTGGAATGGTAACCATGAGAAGAACATACTCGTGACCCCTTCCTCTGCTTCCGTCCTTGCAACGAAGGCCAAATTACATACTACACTGTTTCTGGTCAGAGCAGATGTTCTGAACATGGGATTCTCAGCCTTTTTTAAATTTATTTTTCAGGATCGGGACCATGAGGTGTGTAGGGAGAAGGAGGCTTAAGACTTCTTCCCCCACAGCCACCTCTTGACAGCAAATGATCTCAGGAAGCTGCTACCACCCAGGTAGGGATATTTTACAGGCTGTATGTAGGTTTGCCTGTGGGACAAATGGAAGCCCCATGGGGTCATTTCTGGTTGAAAAAAAACAGTGTTCGTGTGAGGGTAATGTATCCTTGCCATGAATCGGGCCCCCACAAATTAAGTTTCGACACGGAAGAACCCATGCACATCTTGCTTGACAGGAACTGAAGTGAATTCAGAAACTGTGTAATGTGTAGTTAGGTCCTGACATCAATCTAGGCAGAGGTTTGGGGGCAGTCTTACACTGTGATTATTATTACCTCCTAAATAATGCTCATGATATGACAAAGAGGTCTTTTGCTCCATAAAGTGTTCAGGTTCTTGGTATCTCTGCTTTTTACACACACAAGTCAGAAAATCCCATTCTTTCCTCTTTTCTCTTGCTATACTGCTAGGTGAGGAAAAGGGGGTGAAAGGGAAATGCCCTTTTCCAGAATTCCATTTCCTCAAATGCTTATAAGGGACAGAACTTATTTTACAAAACTCTCACCTGCAGTACCATGAACAATTTGAGCTAAGTGCCTTTCATTTACTGCCATAAACAACTACTTTTACCGAAATACATCATGGGAGAATTCATAGTCCAGTCCATTGGCAGTAGTAGGACTGCTCTAATAAGAGTGCCCTGAGAAATTCTCCATGTATAAAGAATTCTTACAGTAATCTTCACCAAATTCTAGAACTATCCAACAAGACCTCTCCAGGGTAATTTTAAGATAATCTTATGGATGCACAAGAAAAGGTACATTGTAATGAGGTCTCCCTCTGCTTCCTTGTACTCATGGGAAGCCCTGGAGCTGGAAACCCACAGTCTTCAGTGGGAGTCCTTCAGCAGTAAAACCATATGATACGTCTTTAGTCCATCAGCAATAAGGGCTTGCTCAAGATACCACCGAAATGCCAGCTCTGACAAAGTTTTCATTTCCATTGGAGGACCCTCCCAGTTGAAGCTGACACAGGTAAGAGCAGTCACCATATTAATAGGGTCCACCATATTAATAGGGTCCAACGGCAACACACAGTGAGAAACAGTCAACTATTTATAGCAGACCTGAACAATACACTGTTGCGCATCTGTGCATATACTCCTCCCATGAAGGAAACAGGACACACGAGGGTGAGTTAAAAGAATGGCCGGCATAGCAAATCATATGGAAATTTCCTAACTCTTTGAAAGCTGTGCAGATATAATTCTGAAGATCCCAACCCAACAATCCGGTTTCTGGGGAAACTGAATTCTTAAAAAAAATCGTTATGATGGGCTGAATCAGTGTGACTGTAAAAAAATTCTGAAATTTATTCCTCAGCAATTTGTAAATGGTAAATAGGAAAGAAGCTATGTAAAGGATTTATTAAAGAAGGTGTCTGTGTTAAATCTATAATTTAATCTTGAAAATTTACAAAATCTGACATATATCTTGAGAATGGGATGAAAACGAGTAGCTTTCTTTTGTTTAAAAAATTGAAAGCAAACAACTTTTCCAGTCGGTAGCTGCAATTTTCTTAATTTCTATCTCTTTTTTTTAAGGCAGTTTTAAAGAATTTAGATGCTGCCAAGCACCAACCCACTTCTAACAGTTTGCACTCCCTGTGTTCAACTCTGAAGCAGACGGGAAGCAAAAAAAACCACACAAAAATATGGCCACCCTACGGAACAAGTGCCTGGAGTTCCTTGTCCGACAGCTCGTTGACTTCCATAATCTTCTCCAAGTGCTCCATGTACCGTGTGTGGTCTTGCAAGAAGTGTGGCACCCTCATGTTCTCAAGTACTGCAAATTCCTTCAGGCGTTCCACGTCTTCGTAGGAAATCTACATGAGGGGGGGAAAGGAGTTCATACTAAAGCATGCTTGTATTGGTCATTTGAGTCTGCAAACACAATCTTCTTAATCTGTCCAATCCATGTACTGGGGTCTTTTCTCACAGTTCGACACATAATTGCTAAATCCAGAAGCCCAGGAAAAAGCTCTCAAAATGGTAGCCAGAATGTGACAAGTAACTCCTACTATTCCCACTTAATTGGCTCCCTGCAATGCCTTGCTCATTATCTTGGGGGACCACTGTGGGTTAGACTTAGCATTCCACATGGCAGCTTGCACCAAACAAGATTTAGCAACCCTTGAAAAATGTCCTGGACAGATGTACAAAACAGCACCAAAAAGGACTGGTAGAGCTACTTTGAAATGGTTTTTTAGCTTTCGTCTCTCAAGTGCCCGGAGTGTAACAAAACATTAATTTAGGATTCATTTTGCTTTAAACGCATAAAAGTGCAAACAGTTACAATCTAACACAAAGTTCTCTTTTCTGGTAAGAGCTTGAAAACAGCACAAGACCATAGCGGGGGCAGATTCAGGCAAAGGGATCAGCGCAATGTGTTTGTTGTTTCTTCAAACTTTTTCCAGGTGGAATATGAGCTGTGAACAATTAATTTCACAGTTCTAAAAATCCCCATGGTACTAAGCATAACACTTAGAACACTGAATGTCAACACTCTCAAAATTTTAATAGCATACTTTTAAAGGACAAGATGTACTCCACATTAGTTAACACCACCTCCAGTGGTTTAACCATCCAGCAATTTCAAATTTCACCCACCTTTCCTAGGGCTGTCAGTAAGGAGAAATCAATGGATTGTCGGTATCTCAGGATTCGAAGGATGCCGTCCAAATAGACTTGATCTTTACTGAAGCAGCCTGTAAAAAAAAAATCAAGCGATTTCATTAAGCACATTTCTATCCCATGCGCTCAGCAGAATGCGTTCTAGAGGCAGCTCAAGAAACTCACAGGGCTTTTCCACGCCAAGTTGTCGTTGTCTCTCAGCTTCTTAACTGGATCATTTACACACATAGCTTTTTGCCAGTAGTTGCTCTCCCACTTTTTCTAAGTCTTCCCCATGTTTTTCAGACCAGCAGTAGTCTGAAGAAACATTGGACCAATTTGGAACAAGAGCCAGAAGAGCAATGATTGGCAAATGATATTGCATGTAAGGAAGAGGAAAAAATGATGCAGCAAATAAGCTCAGAGGCAGAAAGAACTTGGTGTGTAAAAGTCCACAATCACATATTAAATATTAGTGTACGTAGCGGTCTAGACAATTAAATAATTTTAATGTAAATATGCAGAATAAATGAAAGTCAACTGAATGTAGTACGCAAATTAAATGGACAACAGAACGGTGGGTAACCAGATTAAAAACAGGCCACAACCAGAAAAAGACAACGCTAGATGCAGCCTCTTCAGCTAGCAACGAATATTCCACAGATTCGAGGCCAGATGGATAACTAAGGAAAGGGAGTTCCATAACAAGGGCTCCTTAACAGAAAGAGGCCCTGGCATCTTGTGGCCATCCATCTCATCTGGGAGGGCAGAAAGGACAGCCTCTGAAGATGGTCTGAACCAGATCAGCAATTGGGTGATTCAGTTTTTAGGGGGAAAGGGAAATATTCGCTGACGAAAATCTACACAAACACTTTATATTCTTATGTAGCTTTATTCAAGAATGACTAAAAGAACACTAGCTGAGAACAGCTCCAATCCTATGCACATTCTTGGAAATCCACCCCACTGAATTCAGTGGAACTCACTCCTGAGTAAACATACTCTGGATCAGGCTGCGTATCAGGTTTCCAGCTCCCAACCTAGTTATCTGACACATTTTGGATAGAAATCAACTTAATTCTACTGAAAGGAGTGAAAACCTGAGCCAAAAATAATTTGCTGCACCAGCATCTAAGTACTTAAAATAGGGTGGATCAATAGCTACGCCACTGAAATAGAAACTTTACAAATGCACATCTTTACAAATGGGATTCTAATCCTCTTAAATCCCAATATTTCATCAAAAATGAGTAGTGACTCGAGGAAGGATTATCTAGCGCAACAGTCTGATGACTATTAGAGAAATTCAAACTGTAATTCTGAAGATCAAATATCACCAAATATCTTTGTATTATGCTTTTTTTAAAAAATCACATTTTGGATAACAAAATAGGGTTTGTACCCCAACTCCATTCTTACCAAAGATCCTTTCTGTATTTCGTGACTACATGTTTTTAGGACTTAGCTTGCTCTGTCCTAACTTGGGGCTGGATCCAACCAGCTTTTCAGCTGGTGAAAAAAGGAAAGAGGGATCCTCCAAAAACAGACTATGCTGGGGATCATGGGGCCTGCATGGAAATGGCACATAGGACATGTGCCTTGGACAAGATAATGTTCAAAAGCTTGCCGGATCCCACCTCAAACTTTGTCCCTTGATCTCCCCCGAGAACCACGGATTTCAAGAAAAACATTTGAGTTGAAGGGGAAAAAAGCAAGCTTACCTGGTTGGGACGTATCCGTCCAGCCTCTCTTGGCTCGAACACAATAGTCCCACCTCGTATTGGGGTCCTTGACAAACCTTCCAATGTCCTGAAATAGCTCGCTAAAGGACATTCGGCTAGCTTGGTAGACAGTGTAATAGAGAAGGGCTGCCCTCCATAGAAATGGGTCCTTTCGGAAGAGAACGCTATGAATGCTTGCCAAACCTTCCTCCGTGGGGTTGATGGGTTTTAGTCCATGCTTTCTGCGACCAGTCCAATTGCTCCATGGTTGACTGTTGTTGTTAATGCCCCTAAGATAATGAGTCCCTACACAAAATATATACATAGGCCATGTCATAATATTAACGAGTAGCACAACCAACCAACAAACCTGAACAGTGTACCTCTGGACAGCACTTGCGGGGAACAAATTCAGGACTTCCCAAAACAATAAGCAACTATTCACAGCACTCTAATACAACAAACTAACGCAAATTAAATTCATACAACCACAAGCATAAATGAAATATATAAAATGAATATCAAATAGGGCATGCATGTAAAACCTGTTAAGTCCTGTAAAAATTACATCTATTTGTCTTTCACTAGGAGCTTTCTAGTCCTTACAGCTAACCAGCCAAGGTTTACCTACAACCTTGGGGCACCTACTTTCTAGGAGGTTCTTCAGCAATTGCATCTTTTGACTAGTTGAGGATAGAGTAGTTGTAGAGAGTGGGAGAATATCACGAAAGTGGCTACAGGCCCTGCAGTCATATATAACATGCATTAAGTTTTTAATTCCGTCATTGCAGCAGCGACATATGCGATCAGCAAGGGTTTTTTTTTTTAAAATTAAACCTCCCCTCTGTAACCGCTGAAGGGCGAGCATTCCACCTCATGAGGGCAAACTTTCTCCTTCACTCATGATTTTCTAGATAAAAAAGATAGGGCCTAGGCACTAGTACCTTATACAATGGTTCTAAGAGGGCTCATCATTTGCATGAGTTATTAGGATCCTCCTGTCTAGCTATGTCCTGGATT